AGTCGAAATGTTTCGAGAATAGAGTCGAAATGTTTCGAGAATAGAGTCGAAATGTTTCGAGAATAGAGTCGAAATGTTTCGAGAATAGAGTCGAAATGTTTCGAGAATAGAGTCGAAATGTTTCGAGAATAGAGTCGAAATGTTTCGAGAATAGAGTCGAAATGTTTCGAGAATAGAGTCGAAATGTTTCGAGAATAGAGTCGAAATGTTTCGAGAATAGAGTCGAAATGTTTCGAGAATAGAGTCGAAATGTTTCGAGAATAGAGTCGAAATGTTTCGAGAATAGAGTCGAAATGTTTCGAGAATAGAGTCGAAATGTTTCGAGAATAGAGTCGAAATGTTTCGAGAATAGAGTCGAAATGTTTCGAGAATAGAGTCGAAATGTTTCGAGAATAGAGTCGAAATGTTTCGAGAATAGAGTCGAAATGTTTCGAGAATAGAGTCGAAATGTTTCGAGAATAGAGTCGAAATGTTTCGAGAATAGAGTCGAAATGTTTCGAGAATAGAGTCGAAATGTTTCGAGAATAGAGTCGAAATGTTTCGAGAATAGAGTCGAAATGTTTCGAGAATAGAGTCGAAATGTTTCGAGAATAGAGTCGAAATGTTTCGAGAATAGAGTCGAAATGTTTCGAGAATAGAGTCGAAATGTTTCGAGAATAGAGTCGAAATGTTTCGAGAATAGAGTCGAAATGTTTCGAGAATAGAGTCGAAATGTTTCGAGAATAGAGTCGAAATGTTTCGAGAATAGAGTCGAAATGTTTCGAGAATAGAGTCGAAATGTTTCGAGAATAGAGTCGAAATGTTTCGAGAATAGAGTCGAAATGTTTCGAGAATAGAGTCGAAATGTTTCGAGAATAGAGTCGAAATGTTTCGAGAATAGAGTCGAAATGTTTCGAGAATAGAGTCGAAATGTTTCGAGAATAGAGTCGAAATGTTTCGAGAATAGAGTCGAAATGTTTCGAGAATAGAGTCGAAATGTTTCGAGAATAGAGTCGAAATGTTTCGAGAATAGAGTCGAAATGTTTCGAGAATAGAGTCGAAATGTTTCGAGAATAGAGTCGAAATGTTTCGAGAATAGAGTCGAAATGTTTCGAGAATAGAGTCGAAATGTTTCGAGAATAGAGTCGAAATGTTTCGAGAATAGAGTCGAAATGTTTCGAGAATAGAGTCGAAATGTTTCGAGAATAGAGTCGAAATGTTTCGAGAATAGAGTCGAAATGTTTCGAGAATAGAGTCGAAATGTTTCGAGAATAGAGTCGAAATGTTTCGAGAATAGAGTCGAAATGTTTCGAGAATAGAGTCGAAATGTTTCGAGAATAGAGTCGAAATGTTTCGAGAATAGAGTCGAAATGTTTCGAGAATAGAGTCGAAATGTTTCGAGAATAGAGTCGAAATGTTTCGAGAATAGAGTCGAAATGTTTCGAGAATAGAGTCGAAATGTTTCGAGAATAGAGTCGAAATGTTTCGAGAATAGAGTCGAAATGTTTCGAGAATAGAGTCGAAATGTTTCGAGAATAGAGTCGAAATGTTTCGAGAATAGAGTCGAAATGTTTCGAGAATAGAGTCGAAATGTTTCGAGAATAGAGTCGAAATGTTTCGAGAATAGAGTCGAAATGTTTCGAGAATAGAGTCGAAATGTTTCGAGAATAGAGTCGAAATGTTTCGAGAATAGAGTCGAAATGTTTCGAGAATAGAGTCGAAATGTTTCGAGAATAGAGTCGAAATGTTTCGAGAATAGAGTCGAAATGTTAGAGTCGAAGAGTCGAAATGTTTCGAGAATAGAGTCGAAATGTTTCGAGAATAGAGTCGAAATGTTTCGAGAATAAAGTTTCGAGAATACGAGAATAGAGTCGAAATGTTTCGAGAATAGAGTCGAAATGTTTCGAGAATAGAGTCGAAATGTTTCGAGAATAAAGTCGAAATGTTTCGAGAATAAAGTCGAAATGTTTCGAGAATAAAGTCGAAATGTTTCGAGAATAAAGTCGAAATGTTTCGAGAATAAAGTCGAAATGTTTCGAGAATAAAGTCGAAATGTTTCGAGAATAAAGTCGAACTGTTATGAGAATAAAGTCGAAATATTACGAGAGTAACTTCAAAATGTTTCGAGAATAAGGATTAAAGTTTATAATATAATAATATTTTGAGAGTATATTCTAGCCTTTTGCACATGCAAATGGCCCGGATTGGGAGCACCGGGAGATATTCCAAAGTCTCAGTTTTCAAAATCTGTCAGTTTTATAGCGAAATACAAACAATATATTACAATAATGTGTTTTTTTTCACGCTCTTTAATGTGGCGTGACAGATCGCTGTATTCGCTTCAGTTTAAGCGGCATGTGAGTCTTTCCGATTACAATAATGAGACATTATTTTCATTATAAATTAAGCTATACTGTTTTTTCAAGCCTTCTGATGTTCCTTCACTTTTATATCTTGCTATATACTTGAAATAAAGAGGAAGAACACATTTATTATTTGTATTTCGTGATAAAACTGACAGAATTAGAAAGCTGAGCTGTGTTATATTAAAAGCAACAAAGCACAAAATTATTGCGATAACTGGGTGGCTGGAGTGCTACAAATAATGAATGGAAGACGTTAAATATTATGTCCAATCATTTACTGTATTATTCCATGAATAAAACAGCTTGTGAATAGTCACTTACATGTTATAGCCTACAGGCTACCTCAGAAAAGGAGTTGGAGCCCACTTCAACTTTTAGAACGTTTTCTAAATTAAATAGGCTACATGTGCGGAATAAAAGTTTGGACACCACAGATGTTTTTGCGGAGTAGGTGGTGGAATTTTCACAAATTTGAAATTGTGGAATTTTCACAAAGAAAACAGTATAATTTAATGAATTGGTTCACATAAATACAGCGATCTGATCATTAAAGAGCTTGAAAAACACATTATTGTAAAACACATAATTTGTGTTTCGCTATAAAACTGATTTTGAAAGCTGAGACTTATATTAAAAGTAGGCCTACCAACAGCACAAAGCTTATTGCTATTGGGTGGCTGGCGCACTACAAATAACGAATGCAAAGGAAGACCTGAAATATTATTTCCAAGCATACTGTCCCCGCGAGTATGACACAGGATTAATTACCCTAAATTAAAGGCTGCCATTTTAACCTCATGTTTAATGTGCCTGATGACAGAGGCGAAACCACAATAATTGCTACTGTCCAAACACTAATATGTATCATTCCATTGTGACAGCAGTAGTAGCAGCCTTACGATGGAGACGGACTCCGGTGGAAGGAGGGACACACAGGCATCTCTGCACTCTGTGGGTCAGTCAAGTGATGACCTTTCATCCCTGGAGCCACTGTGTCCTCTTTACCCAGAGACGTCTGTGATAGGAAGTCTGAGCAGTGAGGTCTTCCTCAATGTTCTTCATCTTAACACCAACAGGAAACGTGAGTAATACAGCGTTCTTCACAATGACGCAGTAGTTAGACTAGTAATAATATATATTACCTGCTTTTTAGAGATGTAATTATATCTCCTCTACGATTTGAAAACTTTGAGGTCGATAAGATGTTTTATGCTTTTATGCTCACTGAGGCTGCATTTCTTTGATTTAACCAGGGAATTAACGTCTTAGAATTGACAAGACAGTTGACCCTGAGTGGTCAGCTAAATATCTACAGTGGATCTAAAATATGAATAGTTAATTATAACTAGTTATGGTTAATTATTCATATTTCCCCATGAGCTGATTCGCTACACCCGCTGACTGCAATAATAGAGCGTGGAATAGCTAGGACAATTTTTTATATAATTCCGACTGGATTCGTCTTAAAGAAGAAAGTCACATACACCTAGGATGCCTCGAGGGTGAGTAAAACACAGTCTAATTTTCATTTTTGGGTGAACTAACCCTTTAAGGTCTACACCTACCCCAACCCTAAACCTAACTGTACAATAATGCAAATACAGTAATTAATTGTTAAAAACTGACGCAATATTGATGTGCACATGTCCAGAAAGCCCAACTGGTGATAACTGTACCCCCTCCCCCTCCTTTAATTTTTTATTTCATTTTTAACAATTTTTTGAGAAAAGGTTCAGTCTTATGTGCATGTACAGCATTAGAATGACCACAAACAAACTCTCACGCAAAAGTTTTTAAATTAACATCAAACTACTGAATGCACCTTGCCATGACGTTTTCAGTCTCTAAACAGTGAAGCATGAAAGTTACTAAACAGGACCAGAATGTTTTTTACTTGAGGCGTTTGTGAATTATATTTTTGTGAAAATGTACCTTCTAGAAAGTTGTTCCATGATGGCACAAGCTATGATTGCTGCAAACCACATGGGTGTTGCCCAGTTTATTGACATCATAAAGAAGCAGAGACCATATGAACCCCCTGGAAATGGTTGACGTGCTTTTTTGTTTGTTTTTATTTGGGACAGGGTGATCCAATCCCATCTTTCATCCACGCTGTCCACTCCACTCCAAAACCAGATTATTTATCTGGTTTACAATTTGTACATTGCTTTATCGAAAGTGCACTTTTTTTCAAGCCCAGTATGGAATAAACATTATTACAATGTTATGAGAGGCGGATGAAACACAACTAACGTCAGCATGACGTAGCATTAGCTTGTGTTTGTCTCATGTTTTGATGTATTTTATGTTTGTCTGCTAATGCCAAAACACTCAGGGTGCCGTTACTGTGATCAGTGCATTAACTGATTCTCAAGATTGCAGCATTGATCTGGTCATTCCAACATTATCACCCTTACATTTTTGTTTCAACTCTCTCTTCACATAACCAAATAATGTTCAAATAAGGAACAAATTAGCAAATGTATAAAAATGAGAATGTCAAAGAAAAGTTAATATAACATTTATAATTACACATAAATAAAATCATGAAATAAAAGAGCCCAAATAAAAGAAGCATTCCTTCCCCTGTAATTATTAGATCACAAGCCAATTTCAAAATTAAAATATCCAGTTAACGCAGCCATTGATCTGGTCATTCCAACATTATCACCCTTACATTTTTGTTTCAACTCTCTCTTCACATAACCAAATAATGTTCAAATAAGGAACAAATTAGCAAATGTATAAAAATGAGAATGTCAAAGAAAAGTTAATATAACATTTATAATTACACATAAATAAAAGAGCCCAAATAAAAGAAGCATTCCTTCCCCCGTAACTATTAGATCACAAGCCAATTTCAAAATTAAAATATCCAGTTAACGCAGGTTGGACAAGCCTTAATTCAACTGTGATGATGACAACACATCTACAAACACTCTTACATAGCATGTGTAAATGTGTAATTTACATGGAATGGCACTATATGTTCGTTTATTTCAACATATAGCTCAGTCTACTTAAGACACTCAATGCCAGCAGGTTAACTGACCAGCGAGAAGCTTAAACCTCTTTATAGACATTGTGATGTCTTGTTTAGAAGACCTTTATACATGCTTTACAATGTCAAGAGTTGTTATACCACACATGCATTGATACCAAGTAGACTTTACAGGATGAATGGAATAATAATCAGCAGCACTGTCAGTTTTGACCCCTCACAGATTAAAGCGCATTTTTGTCAAACCAACAATCAAATAAAACCAGTGTAGTTTACAAAGGAAACCTGAAGTGAAAAAAAAAACGACCACCTTTTCCATTTTTGTCAAAACTATTGGGTTGGGAGAGAAGTAGATTAGGACAACAGGCTAGGCAACTGTGTGTTTGAAACTCTTTCAAGCAAAACTGGAATATTTTACTGCGGTACCTCGCTATCATGTGCTTTTCGCCTTACAAGACCTCAATACCTAATCTTGTTGGGTGTGTGTTTTTTTTTTGCATATAAATCTTGACTAATTGCAGGGTTGTCTAGTTGTCTTGTAAATATTTACTAGCTATGAGGGAACTGGGAGAAGTGGCTCATCCTTCTGGCCGTGCAACATCACAAACTAGAATCAATCCTTTATGGAGTCCCCTTAACCAATCTAACTATTACTAAGCCAAGTCACAGCTTAAACCCGACATTTACAGACAGATCTAAGACTGCGCTTCACTTCCCATCTAGGTCTATACTGAGTTCAAACGTTATTAATTAAGAGGGCAGAGACGATGATAGAGATCTAGAGAAGAGTTACTGAGATTAAACAGAATAGATGCAACCAATTCAATCGGCTTAATGAATCAGGAGACTTTATAATGGAGTGCAGAGCCACATTATGTTTGAATTATCCAACATTTCTACTGTTTAATGGCTAAACTGAATGAGTCCACATTCATTTCAGACAATCTCACAGCGCCACAGTGTTAATAAAACATGACTGGAAATGTGTGCAGCTTTTGGTTTCAATATGATAGGCATTTATGAGCTTGAACTTATATTCAGAATAATATAAAGCCCTAATTTCTATCTCCATCTGTTACGCTTTACAGTTAGTGCACTATTAAGTGTGCACTATATGACATAATCAAGCTGTACACTCACTTGCAGTGCACAAGAACTGGCAGAATGTTTTACATTCATTGAATACTGAAAGAGCATTCTTAAGCCAAGCTACATCCGTAATACAAGCACTACTCTGGTATCCACAACCATCTCTGCTTAAAAGAGCAGAGCACCCATCAATCCACAGGCCCTAAATTAAATCACTTTTCAAGTTCTCAACACAAAATATGCTCATCCCCTTTAAGCCAATTTAAACCTGGTCAGGTTTATCCATTCAGGTGGAGCAGCTCTACTACAATGGCAACATGAGCTACTGGTTCTGCATACAACACATTTATAACTAGCTGGTTAACGTGGATGTAGCATGATGTGTCACGCTTGGCACTGCAGATGAACATCTGAGGGTGAAGAACCGCCGTGCGGCTTTCTGGACTGATCGTGACATTGTGCCAAAACACAAATCATGACACACCACCCAGCGAATGTAAAGTGAATCAGATTATCGAAATGAACCTTGTTACTGTGTGTGGTGGGGAAAAAAATGTTTGTACAGTGTCCATTCTCAGGCCATCAAGATGTATGTGTAGCTCATTTCACATGTGTATATGTGCGTTTTTGTGTGTGCTGAGCAACACAAAGCAGGCGAGTGAGACGACGGCGAACCAGACAGCGATTACTTCTGCCTGGTGAATACGGTGTTGTATCCAGGTCACTCTGGCATCAACTGCTCCTGTCTGGGGCCTGACTGATGCTCTGGTGCAAGCTCCACTGATAAGCCTGGATGAAAAGGGACTTGACTGAGAGGGGATGGAGCAGGGGGCCGAGCTGTGTCAACAAAGCCCAAGCCTCCCTATCTGCCTGATCCTGTCTCTCACAAATCACACCCTCCCATTCTGTCAGTCACTCTTGCCGGCTCAGTCTCTAGACTGGTAGAAGAGTATATACCCTGACTCAGAGTTTTTGGAGATGTCCGATGTCAGACCGTAGAATTCCTCGATCGCTTGGGCGTCTATTTTCTGTGGGGACCAAAAAGAGAGAGATACATAACTGGATATAAAGGAAAACTTATTTAAACTGGTGCGCTAATTTCTGACTTCCTTTATGCATGAAAATAAACCTCATTGGTTCTTGCGGAAGCTTAAACATGCTTGCATGACAAATAAGCACATTTGTGATTCAGTTTATCATATTTTATGTGCACTATGTATGTGCATTAATCAATGTTTACAAGTGAATAAAAGCCTTAAATTAAATCTGTTAATCATATAAAGTGATTGTGTCTCTTGAGAAGACTTGGATTAAATGGCTAGGTTCAAATGGATCACAAGCATCAAAGTTTTCAGTGAACGGATTTTCAATGAAGAGACAGAAATCTCAGATTGCATTATATATTTTTTTTCCTTTGAGTTGCAAAGATGAGGAAAAGTCTTTGATTTGGAACAACATGAGTAAAAGGATATTTCAACTAGGGATGCATGATATTATTGGAACGTTATCGGAATCGGCCGATAAAGGCTTAAAATGTAAACATCGGCATCGCCCGATTTGAAAACATTATGCCAATATGCCTTTCCTATAAGACGAATAGCTCACATGTGCTCTGGGTGAGTTAGCGATAAGATCACGTCAACAGTTTCAATGTTTTGGATCACTGCATTTTAATTTGTACATGCAGGCGTCTGGTGCGGCAGCCTCCCAATGCACATCTGGTAAGGCATTTCATTTACTTAGGGGGCGCTGTTGGCCAACTTGTAATAGAATGAAAGTAAAATACACAAATAACATTAAAGGGGTCATATGATGCGATTTCAATTTTTCCTTTCTCTTTGGAGTGTTACAAGCTCTTGGTGCATAAAGAAGATCTGTAAAGTTGCAAACACTAAAGTCTCAAAACCAAAGAGATATTTTTTTTATAAAAGTTAAGAGTTAACCACGCCTACCTAAAATGGCTCGTTCTAACACGAGCTGATCTGTGCTGGTCGCTGAGGAAATACATCAACTTTCACCGTGGAACTTTTTTTTTGCTTTAGGCCATCTATTAAAATTAAATCCACAAACAAAATCTTAAGGTTTCAAAAATTGCATTTGTCTGGAGAAAAAAAAAAAAGCAGAGATTGATTTTATTATAGTATTTTCAAAGCTTTCAATGTACTCCTATAAAAAAAACTAACCAAAATTAAAAATTTTGAATGTATTTTATGAATGTGTTTGAATTTTGAAAATTCAAAATGAAAAATCATTTCTGCACAGGAGAGACTTGGTGTTGTTTTAAAACAAAAGGAAATATATATCGGTATTGGCATTGGCTATCGACTAAAATTATTTTAAAAATATTGGCATATCAGATATTGGCAAAAATCTAATATCATGCATCCCTGATTGCAACCAAAAATGAATATTCTATCATTTACTTGCTCTCATGTCATTCCTAACCTGTTTAGTAGATATTTTGACAAATTTATTTTATTTTTATTAATATTTAATTAATTATTAATAATATTTAACTGATTCTTTCGTGTTTCACAAAGGAAGGAAAGTCAAACAGTTTTGGATTCCTTCAAATGAAGAAGCATGGGATATCTGTGCAATTAGCAATACCGAACATAATTGCAATCTATTTGAGAATCACAACAGGGTCAAACAAAACAACACCCGCCCCAAGCAATAACCAAAAATTCTGCATGGTGTCACTAGTGGTGCAGAAATTACACAGTTCGCCTTGACTTCTAAAGCTGTGTAAATGGAAATCTTCTCTGTCCAGAAAAAGCTCTAATGTTTCTTTTTCCAGATGTGCAATTGGGAAGACATCAGATAATGGAAAAAAACTAAACAGATAAAGAACATCTGACTTTAGCGTGCAATGGAGCTAAGCACTGCTCCATAAACCCTCTGCCTCCAACATCCAGTGTCTTACACCACCACTGTGCTTGGTATTTATAAAAGACTGCTGTTTCCCCATGTTTACGGTATGAGAACCACTTCATGTTCAGAGAAGCATCTGAGAGTTTGTGTTCACAACATGCGTGTAAATATTTGTCAAGGTTACCGTGTAGCAGAGCGGAAATCACATCTGTGTGTCAAAACCAAATGGATTTATACTATAAGTGTGCACGCAGGTGATGGAAAATCTGTCTCAATGTCGATTCAAGGTATAATTATAAATATGAGCGTAGTTCGTCTGTTAATATCACATTAATATCTTTTTTGTTTGTTGTTTTTTTTTAGTTTGTTACTCAGATGCAGGCAGTGCGCTGCATGAGAAAAAAAAGTAATATAGCCAAAGCAACCGCATAGCCGCTCTTTAGTATAGATGCATGTTGATTTTATCAGACGATAACGCGATTATAAATGAGAGTGACTCCTGGTTAACATTAAAAGGGTCATGTTTAGTTACTATTTAGTGTGGTATTTTTTGACAATATTCACTCATCATGACAGTAAAATAGGTAATTCTAAGTCAATATACTGCAGTATTTCCTCTTTCAATCAGTAGAAAATATGGTTAACACCCGGTCATGCATGAAAAAAAAATACCGTCATGTAACGTGAAACCGGTATAATTTTGAAAAATACTGTGATATAAATTTTTGGTCATACCGCCCAGCACTACCTTAAACTGCAAATAATTTATCGCTAGAAAAGCAAACTAAATGTGAAAATTAACATAATGTTATAACAACTGGAAAAAGAAACAATCAAGTTTGCTGAACTGAAACTGATGCTTCAAGGTCTCGGGTATTTTTTTAGATACTTCTACTTTCTCGGTTCTCTTCTTTAAAAGTAGTAGTACTTCAGAAAATTATTTCACCTCTTTGAAAACAAAGAATAAGCATGTGCATGATCACTGAAGTCTATGGGCCAATAATATTATTCAGTAAAATAATAATTTATTTTGGGTCCAAAATTATTTTCTCTGGATACTGACTGCATGTTACAGATTTGTTTTATGTCAACTGGAATACATTATCAATTAAGAAGAGCAACATTATACTCAAACTTACCTCTACAATGTCATCATCAAACAGAAGCCAGAAGTCATGACTCTTCACTATAGTGATATAATGACCTCGATTTGGACCACTACAAAAAAGAAAACATATTAACAAGATGTGATGAGCAGAAACAAATGACAATCCACAGCACTATGAACGGAAGAGAAGAATCCCTTGGTCACCAGAGAGAAGATTTTTGTTTCAGTGGAAGATCGATTTATGGAGAACAAAAAATTTACTTAAAATAAAAAGAAAACATATGCATGTATAATTCATTCATAATAAGATGCCTTTAGAAAATAGAGTACATTTTCATTTCATGCCTACTTTAAACATTACCACACAGACAACATACTGTGCTCTTAACTTAATACACAATCCTTCATCAAGAAAAAATGTACTTGGCCAGATGCAGATGAGTTTATTTCTTCTTCATCAAAACAGATTTGGAGAAATCTCTTCAATGAATCCTCTGCAGTGAATGGGTGCCATCAAGAAGCTGATGAAAGCAGCACAATAATCTACATGACTCCATCAATTAATGTCTTGTTAAGTGGAAAGCTGTGTATTTGTAACAAATTCATCAAGATTATTTCTTAACTTCAAACTGTTGCTTTTGGCTATAGGAGTACTCTATCTGTAATGCTGCATTCTCCAGTGAAAAAAGTAATCTTGTCTGAATCAGGAGAGAGGTATGCACAAATCAATTAGCATTTACAAGTGAAAGCAATCTAAAAAACAGTTCTAAACAAATATGTCAGTGGATTTTGATGTGAGAGGACAACAAGTGATGGACATTTTCACTGGAGGGAGTGTTATTATGGATTATGGACTGGTATTTTGACCAGAAGCGCTGGTTTAATAAAACGCCTGAATGATGGATTTGTTTTTTACAAACATACACCTTTTCAGTTTATAGAGTCATGGAATACTGTGGATTATTGCGATGCTTTTATCAGGTGTTTGAACACTCATTCTGATGGCACCCATTCGCTGCAGAGGATCCATTGGTGAGCAAGTGATGTAATGCTAAAGAAACAAACTCATCTACATCTTGGATGGCCTGAAGAGGAGTACATTTTCAGCTAATTTTAATTTTTGGGTGAACTATTCCTTTGAATTGACTGTCACGTCAGAAACCTACCTCCCACAGTGCACCACTACAGCCACCAGGTCGTACAATCGATCAGGGTTGGTAGCATCACCAGAGGTGTTAAAGAGCCTCAGCTCCAGAGGGAAGACTACACGATAAGAGAGCTTGGTGTAGCGATGAAGCTGGTCCATATACTTAAAGCGCTTTAGGTGCAGGGCAAGGATCATGGGTAATTTCTTCACCCGCATCCTTTAAGTAAGAAGAGAGACAGGATCGATTTTAACTTGAAATTCCATCTCTATTCTCAGAATGCACGTTATTGGCCAACTTCCTGAGCAACTGTAATTGTTAAATGCTCCAGGATTAAAGGTGCTGTATGTAGGATTGACACTGAGTGGTTGAACTAGGTATTGCAGTCCAAATTCAAAATATTGGAGAGGTTGTTTTTCACACGGCCCCTCCTCCTCAGACTTGATGCACATGCAGGTTGCCAGATTGACGACACCAACAGGAACGAGTGCACTTGACGATGAATGGAATGAAATGAAATGCGCTGTGTTTTATGCCAACTGGCAACCTGGGGGTCCCGAAATACAACTGGGTAAACTGGCAGTGGGCAAGTTTCACAAACCAAAACAGAGACCAACATTCCGGAACGCACATCTTCAAAGGAGAATAACTGACTGTAACATTGTTTTTCAGATAAATATGTTCCAGTGTTTTCAGTGTCTCAGAGCAGTTCAGCTTGCAGTAAACGCTATTCCACATAAAACTCATCTCTGCATGTGCTCTGAGTTTGAGTTGCTTATAATGTACATTTGGGAATGCAACAAAAGAGAAACCTGAATAGTTTCCTAAGTTTTTCCGCCAAAATAAAAGCTTTGATGGTTTAACATTTGAAAGACATCTATAAATATTAGTATTGTCATTTTACAGTTATAATGTAAAAAAAGGCTATTAAATAATTTTTCATAAATACTTAATGTAAAAAAACCAAAGTCAAATATTACAAAATAGTAATATTTCATATTTCCTTTTACATTTTATTTGCCTCTACTAGTAATTTCTATAATTTTAGTCTACATATAATAATTTAATAAACATATTAACATATAGATCACAACATTTTGGGCCTAATTGTGCAGGCCTACAAACAAGCACAGCAAACCTAAAGCTTTTTATAAAATTATTATAAAAAAACAATAGCCTAATAATAATAAATCACATTTTAAATCACAATGGCATTTTTTTAATACCTGAAAAATCCTCATCAGTCATCATAACACCCCTACATCTCAGATCAGCTAAAACAGTTATTAACATAATCCGCAATCCAAACATTTAACAGAGTTCTTTGTACTGTTGAAAACTGTCCTCCCATCACATCCATACAATCCCCCAGATGCTGATTAGTCCAAGCCAAAGTGACAAAAACATACTCCCAAAAACTCACTCATCCCATATCTCATTAATAAAAACAAGAGCCCTTTAGGGTACTTCTGACTCACTCCACCTCCTCTGACTCACCGCTTCACAGTTCAGGCACCGTGTCTCATTGGTCAGTGTGCCTTGGAAGATCTCGTGCACCCATGTCTGCTGGGTCTTTTCCTCCGTTTCCCCTTCGCCTGTACTGCTACCGCTTCCACCTCCTCCTCCACTTCCACCATTCTGTACTACCTTTCCATTCTGCTGTCTCTCCTGGCTCTTTTCCTCCTGTAGCAGGTCTGCAATGGTGTTGAGCAAATAGTTGAGGAATTCGTGAGCATCTTGCTGCATGTAGTTGTCAAACAGTTCTGTAGGTAAAAAAAAAGAAGAAGTGTTGATAGCATCAGGTAGCTGCAAGTCTAATATATAAACAGTAGAAATGAACAGTGAAAAAATGATTTAATCATTTAATAGCAATGCATTTCGATCACATACACAGTGTTTCCCGCATAGCTATTCAGCAGTGCAGCTGAATCTACTGCGCCATGGTAAAAGAAATTACGTATTATGTCAGTTCCTAATTTGCAGTCAAAGCAAAACTATACAACGATAAATTGTGTTGTCTTTGCTGGCTGCATGCTGCATGAGCAGTATCTGGTTCATGACAAATGACTCTTATAAGCTGCTCTGTTCTTGTTTTAATCAGCCAAACAAATGTAAATACTGAATCCATAAGAGCAGTTGCTGTATTACTATCAAACTCACTTAATTGTGACAATAGTAACAACTTCACATCTGACTTGAAACAGACTGGCTGTTCATGTTACACATTCACAACAGGTTTAATTAAAACAGCATTGTGAAATATTTTTAGTTTCAAAACGGTTTCTTTTATTATTATTGACATATTTGTTTTATTCCTGTGATGGCAAAGCTGAATTTTCAGGAGGCATTACTCCAGACAGTGTCACATGATCCTTCAGAAATCATCCTAATAAAAATGTCTTATTATTACCAATGTTGAAAACAGTTGTACTGCTTAAAATTTTTGTTGAAACCAACATTTCAGATAAATATAAAGTTCAAAAGAAGTTTAGAAATCTTTTATAACATTATAAACGGCTTTACTGTCACTTTTGAACAATTTCAGGCATCAAAAGAAAATACTGACCCCAAATTTTTGGCATCTATCTTTATATCCATGTTTACAAACATATCAGAACATGCATTTCATCTGTATAGCAAAATTTCACGTAAGCACCTGCATAACATTCCCATTATCCCACATCTACAACCCCTCTCTCATCAGTCAGTCAAATTGCTTACTGTAGGACCCAGAATCTTTTCTCACCATTTTCTTTCCTCAACCTGGAGATGAACTTCTTTGGTGGAATGACTCCCACTTTCTTCTTCTGAGTTGCAATGCTGTTGAAGAGGTCAGCCAGGCAGGTTAGCAGGCTCTCTTTCCGTCGCGGCTGGATCTTATAGGCCAGCACTTTCTCCCGGAAGGGCCGGCAAAAGTACAGTGCCTGCAGCACTGAGTTACAGTAGCAGGTGTTGCCAAACTGAGCGACCAGATTGTAATTGGAGAAAGAACAGATCAAAGATTGATGAAGGATATGTGATGACATACATGCACATATAATATGTGTCATATCTGCAATTAATGTCTCAGAGAAGGAAAGCAAATCATTGTTGGATATATGGAGCAGTTTTATTATTATATTTTGCTGCCTTTTATACATGCTTGCCAAATCTGCCATCAAGTGATGACATAAGCACATTACATAAAAAAATGTGCTTTAAAACGTAAAAGTGATATGGCAAAGTAATCTTCTACTTATAGCACATTCACTGACAAAAACAATAACGTAAACTTACATTGACCAGCCCAAAGTAGTGTTCATTAACAGGGAACTGTTCCGGTCCAATCTCCTTTTCCAAAGCAGAGGCATTGGCGCCCTACAGGGAACAGCCACAATGGTTATCTTGGCTCATGGGTCTCAATAATACAAGTGACCAGGAACACTCTGGACCTATTGGAGACTAACAGGAACATCCTGTTTGTGAAGAATGATGCCAGACTTGGCATTAACAGGATGCAGTTGCTGGGCAAGTGCACCCACTCTGTTTCACCAGGGGAGAACATCAAGGCAGAGCTGTAAGTGGTATCAGTATCTGAAGTATAATGTATGAGTTCTCAGATGTTAAAAGGCCTAAGTCAGAGGTTCTCAAGCTTTTTGACCCGAAAGCCACCCCGCTGTCCAGCTCCTTATTCAAAGACCCACTTTCCAGGCATATAGGAGGAGATATTTCTGCTGCAGTTATGATAAAGCTATTTCTTTCCTTCTTTTTTTTTTTTAAACAGAAACTGGGAGCATAAAAATATCAAATTAATTAACCACAATTGAGAAATTTCAAAAACTGTATGTTCTTCAACAGGATTTATTGTTTTTATGCGTTTTAATTTAGATTAGAGCTTTACTATTTCAAAAATATTCATAATAATTAATGATTTAAATACTGTAAATATTGTTTCTGGAAAGATGAATCATCAAAGGGATCTGATTCATCGTGGCTTAGGTAGTAATCTGTTGAAAATTTAACTTTATATATAATGTCGACCCAAGACTTGATTACCTTGATCCTAAGGCATTTTTAAACAGAAACTGGGAGCATAAAAATATCAAATTAATTAACCACAATTGAGAAATTTCAAAAACTGTATGTTCTTCAACAGGATTGATTGTTTTTATGCGTTTTAGCGTTTTAATTTAGATTAGAGCTTTACTATTTCAAAAATATTCATAAGAATTAATGATTTAAATACTGTAAATATTGTTTCTGGAAAGATGAATCATCAAAGGGATCTGATTCATCGTGGCTTAGGTAGTAATCTGTTGAAAATTTAACTTTACATATAATGTCGACCCAAGACTTGATTACCTTGATCCTAAGGCCTAATGTATCAATACATTTACTCAAACTAAAATTACTCAATTTACGAACAGCATTTTATTTTTTACATAACTCATAGCTCTTTTACATAGCCACCTCAGGGTGCCAGTATGTACTAAGCGAAATCAACAAGATGTAAATCTATGTGTCTTATCTCTATAACTGGTTATCAATAACCGCTGGTAAATAAGGAAGTTGCCACATAAATATCTTGCTATAGAAAGGATTCACTGATTGATGATAATTCAATCTCAAACTAGAAGCTGTTCTATAACGGGACTCCCAGTAACGTTACCTACCCAAATAAATACGATTTTAAATTCCAACAGTATTATGTACACAGCAAATGCCCCATTTTTATGTTCGTTGCGAGTCTGATCTACTGTGAATGTTCTCGTGTGACAGTTTAAGAAACCTCTTTCAGCACTACAAAGACACTGAGCTCATTGAATCCGTGTGTCCTTCAAATAATGTTAAAACAACAACAGAAGCAGCAGCAGGAAATGTAGTCTCGTGCATGACCTCGCCTGTTACCCTGTCCACCCTTCCTCTTTACAAAACACTCCTAAACATACATATAGTATCCACATGACAGATATTATCTGATGGTAAATAAAGCTGAGCCGCCCGGCTAATCAAACATGGGCATTATTTGTGTGTCGCTCGCTAATACGCTAGGCTACACATTTGACCCCTGAGCAGAATATCAAATTCTCGGACAAAAATGCTATAAAGTCCGTTTAACCACATCTCCAAACTTCTACTGCGTCTATAAACCCGGACAGAGAGGTGTGCAAACTTTTTGTGGCTGCGCTGCCATGTTCATGACACGGTTGTTTATCTGTTAGCTGTTGAGCTAGCCCTGTTAGCAGGCTAATCCAAACACAGGTTAGACGCAGTGGACGGGACAACACTCATGCTTTTATGCGAAGAAAAACTCACCATCGTACAAATCGAGGCGATCTTTCGGACTGTCATCAGTATTTCCATCCGTCTGCCGCCATGTTGGACCGAACCCCTATTTAAAACTGTGACAGCCGCACAGGCTGAAGTTCCGGTGAATCCTTCCTTCAGTCGGTCCAGCTCTCGGCGGAATGAGGGAGTGTCGCCTCGCGCGCTGTAGCCTAGCAGCTGCGCAGTACACAACACAACATCACCAACCCTACTATGGCGAAGGCTACTGTTCACATCAACTTTATTTTCAACATAGTTCACAAATACTGGGAAATTTCGCATTGAAATGACAAAGCACGGAATAGAAAAGAAAGGATATGCGAATGTTTACGTCAATTAGGTAAATATTTTAAGGGGCAATTTTCTTTTTTTTTTCTTTCACATATTTTGAAACATATTTTGTAACAATATATTTTGTGATAATTGATATTATCTGGGCTATATAGCCTAGTGTTTCATATCAGTGTAATGTTTATGGTATTAAAAACATTTACATTTATTACATTTTTTTTTTTTTAAATCAACATTATTTAAATAACAGTTTAGCCTATGATTACATGTCTTAAAAATGTAACATCCCATGAGCAACAAAAATTGTCTAAAATGATATGATATTAGTGCGAACTGGCAAAACGAAAATAAGCGTGAGACATTTTATAATTTCTAAATATCTGAAAAGAAAGAAAGAAGAAGGAAAAAAACTGAAAATCTTTTTTGTTTTATGTTGCGTTAGTAACCATTCAAAAATCAAGTGACATTTTAAATAAGGATTTACATTAATCCTTTTATTTCACGCATATTGTAACCAGTTGGATATGAAGGCAGACAACGGTGAATTATGGATACTATGTGTAACATGGAATAGCCCCGAGTTACATTCTTTTGATGTTTTCATATTTTATGGCGAAGGCTTGTCGTATGAATATTAATTAGGTAATGCTGACGTTGCTTGGTAACCTTCCTATCACGTGGTCTATTTCATATTCATGAGTCCAATCTTCTTCATAGTAAGATTCGTATACACCCGCCCTTCTCTGGTTTCTCGACTTATCCTCTAACGGCCGCAGAGTCGTCTGTGGCCCCCGGACGCTCTGTGTTGCTTTTGACCGATGTATATGTTTTATAGATTCGCGGGAACCTGGACAAGGAGGAGAAGACGACAATGAGACGACCTTGAGGTCACACTGGCGCTCGGCTATTTCCGTGCTGTCTTTTCATAAACACACACAGACACACACACACACAACAAGAACAACTCACTACAAATATAAACTGTGGTGCACAGCTGTTTGGAAGAATGTTATATCTTTATATCTTTTTTTTAATATCTTTTACAATATAAAGTTCAAGCCTACTGTTTAGACAAAATGTGTGATTTTAATCTTTTGTGCAATTGACAAGGATGAAAAAATTAATAGCAAAATAGTAAATTTCGACAGGTTTACATACTTTTTTCCACACAAGTATGCCTTCAGTTACCAATGTTAGCAATGTTACATTTATTTTATTTAGTCATTTAGCAGACGCTTTTATCCAAAGCGACTTACAAATGAGGACAACAGAAGCAATCAATTGTAGTATTAAAACAACTAAAAACAGATCCAAAACTAAAAGCTAAAACTTTATAAATATTATCTATACACACTCTAAAAAATGCTGGGTTAAATATAACCCAGCGCTGGGTTAAAAAGGGACAAACCCAGCTATTCGGTTGTTGTGACCCAGCGGTTGGGTTGTTTTGAACCCAACCGCTGGGTCAAAACAGCCCAAACGCTGGGTCAAAACAGCCCAACCGCTGGGTCAAAACAACCCAACCGCTGGGTCAAAACAACCCAATAGCTGGGTTTGTCCCTTTTTAACCCAGCGCTGGGTTATATTTAACCCAGCATTTTTTAGAGTGCACATTTTAAAAATAAAGAAATTAAATAAAAATGACAAATGCATACAACAAAATGTCTTAACATTTAAATGAAAAACAAAAAATAAAGCTAAAAACAATTCAAACTATTAAAGAACAAAAGGTATAAGAGTATAATAATGATTCTAACATAACACTAAGCCAAACATAAAAAAACAACTACATATATGTGTATGTGTATGTACAACCACACACACATACATATATATATATATATATATATATACATATATAAATTCAATATATACATTATTTCATTTCCATTTAGTTTGTTGAAGAATTAAAATAACTCAAATTAAATAAAACTAAAACTTAAATCAGCTAACTTAGATTTGCGTTATGATAGGCTAACAGCTCTAGCGCGTATCTACACTTTACGATAGTGCTTCAAAAAAGTCATTAAATAGTTAATAGTAATTAAAAAGTCATTAAACAATATGCACATTCTTTTCGATATAGCACGCTTATTAATATATAAATGCATTTTAATGCAAAAACATTTTATTAATAACAATATAATATAAATATAATACTCACATTTAGGCTAAGCATTTAGCATTCAAATTTTATAAATGAATTTGGGTCTTGAGTGAGCTGGTTTATTCACGCCCCTCTTCCTTGTCCGCTTTTTTTTTCTTTTTCTTTTTTTGCTGAAGGCGCAGTTGCGATCTGGAAAGAGATCTTGCGATCAGGAACTGCGGGTTGTGAACGGTTCAATTTAGCTTTGCTAGACTATATTAGTTACTTCATTGGAGGGCCGGTATGCAAAATTAGCATTCATGTCGTGCAGAACTGGAGCCAGCATTTGGGGTGCACTGGATTGCATTTATTATGAAGACCTCTGTCTGCCAAACGCAGATAACAGAAAGCTTCTCGCGTTGTGAGGAGGGCTCGTATAGCGCGAGAACGCGGAGGAAAAGAGATGCATTTCTAGACAGTCGAATAGCCTAATAGTTACAGCTTTCTAAATGCGTCTTCTTATCGAACAGCCAAGAACAATGAGCAGTGGCTCTAGCAACTTTCTGCTAGTGCCTATACCGGAGTATCCTGTACTAGACTGCGTGCCAAACAAGAACGTCAAAATAGTTGTTCTTGGTGCAAGCAATGTCGGAAAAACAGGTAAATATATCAAACAATGTGGCTTTTAATATGTAAAATATATATATTTTAAAATAAATTTACAAGTACAAGTAATATAACTCATTTTACTTTATGCCATCATACAAGAACGTCAAAATAGTTGTTCTTGGTGCAAGCAATGTCGGAAAAACAGGTAAATATATCAAACAATGTGGCTTTTAATATGTAAAATATATATATTTTAAAATAAATTTACAAGTACAAGTAATATAACTCATTTTACTTTATGCCATCATATTTTTTTATTACATAGTAACTTATTCTAATGGCACTTTGGTGATTTAATGTGTATACAGTTTATTCTGTTTAAAGTCATTAATAGAGACGCTAATCCTGAACAAACGATGATGTTGGAGATATTTAAGCTAGTTTAACGCCAGGGTGCGACATACACTGGAACACTGCACAGTTGTGCACGAGCTATGTGACAATGCTTATGCCTATTATGCTGATACAAAGTTTCTATTTGGTTTTAATTTTCAGCTCTGATTGTACGATTTCTTACTAAGAGATTCATAGGAGACTATGAAGCCAACACAGGTAAACATTATACTGAAACAATGCTATTATACTATGCTCCTATGAACTGTAAAAATGTGTTCATCATCATGACATTTTTGTTTCAGACTGTTTTACTGGTTAGTGGTTACAATCATTTCTGTTATCCGTAATAAACTTGATCAGACTTTCAACATTTTACACTGAAAATACACTGACGTTTATCATTTTAGTAAGTGGATTTTTTCTTTTTCAACATTCCTAGGAGCCTTGTATTCAAGGAAGATTAATTTGGATGGGGAGCAAGTTTCTTTACAAGTGCAGGACACTCCGTGTGTTTCACTCCAGGTACCGCCAAATCACATTCCTAACACTTCCTTCTGTCGTTCAGCTAAACCTTCATCAAAAGTAGTGTGCCCATGGTGTATTATCACAGTCATTTAGATCACTCAGTCAT